TCCCCACCCACACTGAGCATGTTTCCATCCATTTTGTGCTGTGAGCTAATTTGCCATGGACATTTATTCCTTGTCCTTTAACCGTATTCCCATTTTCCGCCCCTCTCTGACTCCCTTCAGCCTAACTGGTCCATCTGCGTGTGCCTTGGCAATTTACCTTCCACAATAATCCCTATCTTTTGTTGGAATAATTCTTCCATAACTTTCTACAAGATTCTTTCTTGTTTTCCAATTTTTTTTTTTCTTTCTTTCTTTTGGAGCTTTTGGAATTATTTTTTTCTTTCATTTTCTTTAATTTTTTTGCACTGACATGGTAGAGTATGAAAATCCCTTAGGTCTGGCTTTGCAGTTTTTATCCCTCTCTTTTTCCTGCAGAAAGAGTACAGGAAGGATCTGGAGGAAGGAGTCAAAGGGAAAGGACTGACAGCCTTAGAGGAGACTCCAGACATGCTGAGAGCCAAAAATGCAACTCAGATCCTGAACGAGGTACGGGAGAGCTGCTCRGGAAATGCCTGAGTGGGTGGGACATGGGCAGGGACATCTCCCACTGTGCCAGGCTGCTCCAAACCCCTCCAAACCTGGCCTTGGGCACTGCCAGGGGTTCCAGGGACAGCTTTTCTGGGCACCCTGTGCCAGGGCCTCCTCACCCTCCCAGCCAGGAATTCCTTCCCAATATCCCACCCAAACCTGCCCTTCTCCTGGTGGTGAACTTCATCATTCCCTGGAAACTCTTGGGTAGAGAGAAAAAGAGAACATGGATGAGTGGCCAAGGGTCAAAAATTGAGTTCTCACTTAAAACTGAGTTCCTTCCTGAGTCACAGTCACAGTCAGGAATTCAGATGGGAAACAGGAGCTGGGACCAACAGTCACTCAAGGCACTCATTAATTAATTAGGCCAGGGACTAAACGAAGTTTTAAGTCATGAAGCACACACTGAAATAATCCGAAATTCTGTAATTTGTGTGCAGAATTATGAGTTTATGTTAGAGGTATCCCTGGTTTGGGATTGGCACTGTTCCTGGTTTGGGATTTATGGTATTCCCCATTTGGGTTTGGCACTATTCCTGGTTTGGAATTGGTGATATTCCTGGTTTGGGATTGGGCGCTGTTCTTGGTATGGGACTGATACTGTTCCTGGTTTGGAATTGGCGATATTCCTGGTTTGGGATTGGCGATATTCCTGGTTTGGGATTGGCGATATTCCTGGTTTGGGATTGGTGATATTCCTGGTTTGGGATTGGTGATATTCCTGGTTTGGGATTGGTGATATTCCTGATTTGGGATTGGTGATATTCCCGGTTTGAGATGGACACTGTTCTTGTTTTGGGACTGGCATTGTTTCTGTGTTGGGACTGGCACGGTTCCTGGTTTGGGTTGGGCACTGTTCCCAGTTTGGGATTGGTAATATTTCCAGTTTGGGATTGGTGATATTCCCAGTTTGGGATTGGTGATATTCCCAGTTTGGGATTGGTAATATTCCCAGTTTGGGATTGGTGATATTCCCGGTTTGGGATTGGTGATATTCCTGGTTTTTCATTGACACTATCCCTGGTTTGGGATGGCACTGTTCTCAGTTTGGGATTGGTGATATTCCTGTTTTGTCACTGGCATTATCCCTGGTGTGGGACTATCCCAGGTTTGTCACTG